ACCTTCTGATTAGTGGCTGACCTGCTCTGCCACCTGAGCTACAGCCACCCCAACCTCACCCGGCCCGGACACGGAAAGGATTGACAGATTAATAGCTCTTTCTCGTTTCTGTTAACAGTTTTCCTTTTGTTAATCACCATGTTCATTGGACACTTACGGATGTCTTAGTTGATTTTGACAATATATTATATATATAATATTAGCAAGCATTGAAGTTCCTCTTGTTGCTCCATTCATCATACTGGACTTTACTAGAACAAGCTTCACCTTCTGCTGTGCCGTTTATTTGTTTTAATTTTTTATTTTTCTATCGATAGTCTGTTATCAGTAGCGCATCGCTGCGTTTAGGAAATTTCATTCTGCACAATGCAGGGAACAGCTGTGACTGGCAAACACAAGAGCATCCGCTGTGATTTAGGGAGCGCTTGATTTGCTTTTTGTTTTATTGGTGTAGCACGCATTTCCAATGTCACTCATTGAAGTTTGGGAAGCCAAAATAGTGAATGTGATTAAAATTCAGTTAATTTTGCTGCTTTCCATGGAACTTGAATAGAAACACATAAATGCATTTATTTGTTTGACAGACAGTATAATTTATAAATGTCAGTTAAAAACATATTTTGGATTGATGACTGTATGTCAGAAGTAGGGTGCTGTATTTGTGAAGACACTGACAGTGTGACTCGCTCTGTTAGAATGGGAAGGTGGAGATCGCTTCTACAGAGAGGACCCTGCTCGGCTTCTTCCTGGCCAAGATGCACAAGATTGACCCTGATGTGCTGGTGGTGAGTAGGAGACGTTGAGATTGTGATAATGATTTTTAATTGGGTTTAAAGTTATATTGTTTTGTCTCTGGCTAAAAACACTGTACATGTTTGTTTTCTGTAGGGTCATGACATCTTTGGATTTGACTTGGAAGTTCTTCTCCAGCGCATCAATGTGTGTAAGGTTCCCCATTGGTCAAAAATTGGACGCCTTAGGAGGTCCAATATGCCCAAATTAGGGGTAAGGAAACAAATTTGCTGAGGATTTTTTCTTCGATCGTACTAGAAAGAAAAAAAACAGAAGAAGCTTTATGTTCTTTTGTGCTGGTGCTTTTGAATCCGCAGGGTCGTAGTGCCTTTGCAGAGAAGAGCGCCACCTGTGGCCGTCTGGTTTGTGATGTGGAGATCTCAGCCAAAGAGCTGATTCGCTGTAAAAGTTATCATCTGACTGAACTCACTGCTCAGGTGCTGAAGACTGAGAGAATCACAGTCCCGCAGGAAGACATTAAAAACCTCTACAGGTAAATACATGTAAAGGGTAATTTCACCAAAAACACAGGATAAGAAGTACAAGTCATTTCTTTTGTATTATTCAGCTATAAAGTTTCTACATGTTATTTCTTTGCTCAAAAATCAATGTGGGAAATAATATGTGTACATTAATATATGAATGAATATGTGTGTCAGTGACTCTCCTCACCTCCTGTACCTGTTGGAGTTGACGTGGACAGACGCCAAGTTGATCCTCCTGATCATGTGTGAGCTCAACGTGCTGCCACTCGCCCTGCAGATCACCAGTATTGCTGGAAACGTCATGGTAATGCCAACAATGCTGCTCTTCCTTTAACATAGTTTAACATGCACAATGAGTTTGACTGACCCACAAAACTCAAATTGACAGTTTGCAGAATACCAGAGTATTAACAGTCAATTAGTCACATACTTATAATTATTTATTTATCATTTTATTTATTTATATAGCACATTTAATTATAACAGGAACGTTGACCAAAGTGCTGTACAAGAATACAAAATACCTATTAAAATAACCTATAATATTGATACCAAACATCAAATATGAATTAACAAATAACTCTCATGCTGTATTAAAAGCCAGTAAATAAAAATGTGTTTTAAGATAAGATTGAAAAAGATAGACAGTAGGAGCCTGTCTGGTGTGTAGGGGTAAATTATTCCACAGCTTAGGTGCTACGACTGCAAATGCTCGATCGCCTCTGTGAACCAGCCTCGACCTCGGTATGGCTAAAAGCAAAAGATCCTTTGATCTAAGAGATCTAAGAGGTCAGACAAATACCTGGGAGCCTTGCTAGGCAGGTCTGGCTAACTCCAGCATATAAGGAGTTACATTAGTCCAGCTGGGATGTAATAAAAGCATGAATCACCCAAAAATGATCTCACCTTAGATAAAAGCCTCAGTTTGAAGAAAGACCACTGTATAACTGAGCTAATCTGTTTTTCAAAGGTGAAATTGCAGTCAAATATAACCCCAATATTTTTGGCATGCGATTTAATAGAAGGCTAAAGACTGTGCAGGTTAAAATGGGAGGTGCTGGGATTGCCACTTGGTCCAAAAATTATCACTTCGGTTTTGTTCTCATTGAAGTTAAGGAAGTTGGAGGCCAACTGGGATTTAACTTCACCGAGACACTGAAGTAAGAGTTCTAGTAATGCACTCTCTCTCAGCTGATCAAGAAAAGCATAACAAGTCTAAGCCACAATAGCAATATCATCATCTAACATTTTGTTTTAGATTTCTCACACAAGTTTCCACACTTAGTGTGTATTCCTTGGACTACATATTTTTAAAAGTGATGCAATTCAGCCAATTTCCAAAAAGATTATTCTATTTATCTTCAGCTGACTGCAGGTTTCTCCAACCTTATAAACAATGCATTTGCATAATGAATGAACCCAGCACCACTGATAGAAGACCTCAAGACTGATCTGTAGAAGTCACTTGGATGAGTGTCGAAGTGTTTCTCCCACTGAAAACACTGTCAAGATAAACAATCAACTTTTTGAGATTTCCTTACCTATATGATTGAGCATGCATCAAGACAAATGCAGATAATTATTTAGCAAGCAAACAGAGGAGCTGAAGGTGACGCTGGCTACTGAAGTGGGTCATGTCAGTAGCACTGTATGGGAACAGCCACAGTCATTTAAGCTGTATCGTTATGTGTCTGCATGGCATTGATGTCAGGGCTGTGTGCTGTGGGTAAGATGTTGACATTTTTATGCTGGATTGTCATGTGCTTTCTGTATCTTGGTATTTTCTGCAAAAGCAACAGGTGAGATGCTGAAAGCAGCTTTATTCAAACAGAGTGCTCATTTCAAAAAGCATAAAATTTAAGTGTAGGGTAAAATTTTAAAGCAGCTGGTTTCAGGAGCTGCAGTTTTACATATTGGTGTTGGAAATGATAACTGTTTCACTGAGTTTTCAATTAATTCCTTTTTTACGAGTTTCTTGATATCATAAATTTAGCATTTAGTACCAATAACAGGAATTACATGACCTTTGGTATCCAGTTTGATTCAGCTAAAATAGCAAACATGTATTTCAGGGCAATCACACAAAGTATTTTCACACCGTAGTCTTTCTGATTTATTGAGTTGGGGCAGATTTACAGTGACTATAGACCAACTGATATCCTATATTTTAGCTTTTTTTTTTTTAACACAGATTAAAAAAATCTGACATTCGAATTTATCGGCTAATATATATATATTTTTTCCTTTTGTCTTTTGGACACAATACAGTAAACAGACTTCCCACTCCCAACATTTGTTGTTTTTACTTGTTTATTTACTCATTTCCGTTCTACCCAGCTCTGCTTGGATCAGCTCTTTGGTCCAAATGTGTGTTTCCAACAGGGAAGTTGCAGTGTGCCCTCTGGTGGGCAAATTATACAATGTCAGCACTCGTAACATGGGTTGACGGGTTTTTCTCCAATCTTTTATCTACTTTTTAAAATTTTTATAATGCTGATATCAGTAAAAACAACTAAAAATGCTGTCACAATCCACTCACGCTTGTCTGACAAAGACATCAGTTTTACTTCACAAAACTATTTTTCTTTTAAACTTCTGCCTTCATTCATTCGTGTTTTTACCGACTTGTTTCAAGTCCAAACTAACATGTTTTCCCATTTTCTTTGAGGAAAAAAAAATCATTTTTTGACATCTTGTTCTGGAAGCTCTAATTGCTGTATGTGACAGAAAATGTCCTGGAAAATGAGTTTTTCTCCCTGCTTTGTCTCTGCAGTCTCGTACTCTGATGGGAGGCCGCTCTGAGAGGAACGAGTTCCTGCTGCTTCATGCCTTCCATGAGAAAGACTACATCGTCCCTGACAAACCTTCTTTCAAAAAAGCACAGCTCGAGACGGTGAAGATGCAGCCTAATAACACACGCAGCTGAATTTTTGTTTTTTCCAAATTAGTTAATTGAAATAAAGCTCCTTCTATTTTTTTTTTTGCTTTTTTTTCCCAGGCTGAAGGCGAAGATGATGTGGATGCAGGCAAAGGCAAGAGGAAGAAGAAGGCAGCCTATGCTGGAGGTTTGGTGCTGGATCCTAAAGTTGGTAAGCACTGGGCATGTCTAAAAAAATGTATTTACTCACCTTGTTCATGTTTACGCAATTATTTTAACTCCCTTCTTCTCATTTTTAGGTTTCTATGATAAGTTTGTGCTGCTGCTTGACTTCAACAGTCTGTATCCTTCAATCATCCAAGAGTTCAACATCTGCTTCACCACCGTGCAGAGGGAGGCTCACAACTCCCAAAAGAAGAAAGAGGTAGTGTTCAAAAACTGTGGTCACAAGTTGTGTTTATAGGTTGAGCCTGTTGAGCCTAAATGCTTCGGATTCAAGATTCAATTCATTTACACACTTTTGATTTGTGTTTTCATGGCAACAGGAGGATGACCCAGAGGAAATTCCCGAGATTCCAGATCCTAACCTAGAAATGGGAATCCTGCCCAAAGAAATCAGGAAGCTGGTTGAACGGCGTAAGCAGGTCAAAGGGCTCATGAAACAGCAAGACATCAACCCAGATCTCTACCTGCAGGTACACACGTGAACACACACTAGTGGTAGGGGTGGTATTTGTGAGCTGGTGTCAGAATAGAACAGAGAAGCTTTATTGTTATTGCATGTGACGTCTTTCGTGAATGAAGTCTTTTTTCCATTGGTACCTACACGGATCGACTCACCACGGTTTTCCATTAGTTCATAGTACCTGGTACCCCCTGCTCTGACAGGGCTCCAAAGCGATCCGAGCAGGTACTAAAATGCGACGTCATCAGACTCGTAAACAAGACGCCACTGATCAGCCAATCAGTGGCGTCTTTTTTACGAAATTCAAAACCACTCCAGCAACGAGGGAAATGGCTACAAGAAACAACGCTGTGGTCCCCAAGTCGGACGAAAAGTCACAGACGGAGCAGCAGGTTTATCGTCGCCTCGATGTCCACCTTTGTTATAGCGTTCGTGTCGCATACTAATTACGTCACGGGATGCTCAGACGTGTTGCTATAACAACAACCAAGCACATTAGGTGGTATTCAATTGTTATGCAAAACCAGACTATCCGAGTCAAGCCCTGGCAAGTTGATCCAAGTAGGTACTAATGGAAAGGGGGCTGAAGTTGCACACATACTCAATAAATGAAAAACGATGTGTAATAATATATAAAAATCAGTGCAGTGTATAAAACAGTGTACCCAAGAAATGGCAGAAACAGACTGATTGACAGTGCCACACCATATCATATCAGATTAATTGAATCTGTTGTTGAATATTTTGCTGCGCTGCACTTATTTTAGCCGGTTTTCCCATTGGAATATTTTTGTCCCTCAGTACGACATCCGTCAGAAGGCTCTGAAGCTGACTGCTAACAGTATGTATGGTTGCCTGGGATTCAGCTACAGCCGCTTTTACGCCAAGCCACTTGCTGCCCTGGTTACACACAAGGGTAGGGAGGTGAGTACACAAACACACTGCTGACTTTGTAGGCTATGTGGACCCCGAGCGTTTTAGCTGTAAAGCTTTGTTTTTTAGAGCAGTATCTGGATCTATAAAAGGGATCAAAGCTTTTGGTTGGCATCAAATACACTGAGACTGATTAAATACAAGTTTATCCTACTTTCTTTTGAAAAGTGTAAAAAAACAGTCCAACATTCATCCACAAGAGGGCACTGCTACATTATATTCAGCACTGTGCAACACTCCTTACTCTGGCCTATTTTCTTTGACTTGTCATTTGTTTTCTGCTTTATCCTGACTCACATTTGTTTCTACAAATGTCTTTGTTTCTCCCACACCCTGTGCCCTTTTCTGTCTCCCAAATATGATTACATCTTCAATTTCATTTAGTCAGAATAAGAGACTTGCCTTATTTTCAGTGATATCAGTGACACTATGCAAGTATTTTCCAATAACAGAATGCCACGGGCACTCTTGAATCTAACACTCTCCATTTAAAGTCTCATTGTGTAAGCACTTCTTTCAACACACAAATGGAATGACAGGGGCATGCACGCTCAATAAATTGGTGCAAAGCAGCATGTGTACTGCATGACATAAACAGCTAAAGCTGGTATTGTAACTGAACACCCCACACACACATGAGCACACACTCACACTCTCCCACTATGTCAGTGGTAGTACTCGTGTTCATTTAATGAGCTCTAACAGTACAAGTCCTCAGCAGAGGCATCAGGCTTTGCCTCAGGGGAGTCCTTCATTAAGATCCCCTTACACACTCATTGTGCTCCCTAATAGAGGGCAGGGCAGTAACTCACTGTGCGTGTTTGTTATTTTGTCAGTCCGTTTGGGCCTCCAGTCATGCTTGTTGTTCAGCTGACAGAGCTACATTGTTAAAGTTGTGTATTGGATTTGCTGCTGCAGGTGGGAGTTTCTGTCCCTCAACACTTCACCGCTTATATCTTGTAGTTCGTATTTATCAACAGCCTGAGGTAGATGGGTTCATTTACATTTGTACCTCCTGCTTGCTTTACATAATCCGGGAAGCATCACCATTCTCGTGTAAGGAGTAGACTAGATTTCCATTATTCGAAGGCTTTGCTCTTGCCCGTGTTGCTAGATTTAGAAGCCCTAATTTAATCATGTGGAATAGACTTACAGCTAGCAGCTATTTTCACAACCTTTCTTGTTGATTTATTTGTTGTATAAAAACTGAAACCTCAAAGTTATTTATCACAGGAGGGCCAGAAATCCAAATTTAGTTGGAGAAAATGCTGACACAGATGTCACCATTAATGAGTCACATTAAGATAGTTATATGCTACACTTTCAAGCTGATCACTCTGCTGGTGCCTGGAAGTAAGAAGGTTTCACTAGAACAGATTAGATCGGGTACGTTGAGAATACAGTTACTGATGTCCAATGTCCCTGAAGCAAAAGGGAGTTCGCATCATACATAATGGGATTATACATATCTAACCAAGGCTGTATTAAAAACCTGTGAAGCATAAGTGGTGTAACAGTAAAATTATGCAGCTGGATCTCTTTTGTAATGGTGGGACTGGAAGGGTGTGAAATTGACCTTGCTTTTGAAAAAGTCTAAGAACAACTGATGTGTATATAAAATATATTTTTTGTTGTTGTTGTTTTTGTTTTTTGTGCTTCATGAACAAAACATTTTCATCATGTCCGCACAGAAATGGAACATTTTTGTTGCCCATTATCCATAGCATGCTAACAGGATTACCATTAAGAGCTGAGCAGACATCATCCCAATCTATATCTGAATCTGGGACTCCTTTGCCCCCATATGGAGCTCACACTGACGGTGCCGAGTCCTTGTTACGGTCAGTATAAAAGATGGAGGTAGCTACAGTGATTGGTTTCTGAAGCCTTGAAGAGTGTTTTCATTTCGAATGCAGGTTTATTTTTATTTATTTTTATTCTTTTATCCGGAAGCTATGTCCATGTTTAATACTGTTTGTGGTACTTGGTGCAGATGGCTGTATCCTCAGTGTTGAGAAGAGGGCAGGGTGTAGATTAGGTTTGGTCGACTAACCCGTTTGCCACGGAATATCGAACCCTCCTCAAGGCCTGGTGCAAGCCATGCGCGTCTGCCCCAGGCTTCTTCCACCTGTCCTATCAAAATAAAGCATAAAAACATAAATTACTGTTATTAAATAGTCGCTTGGTTACCTGATTTTTACCTGATTTTCTGTTGCAGTTACTCCTCAATGAAATGATTATTCCTTAATTAGTATTATTAATAATTATTGCTCTAATTAGTATGTTCAGCGGTAAATGGACTTGTTCTTATGTAGCGCTTTTCTACTCTACTCAAAGCGTTTTATACAACACGCCTCAGTCACCCCAGCACTTTTTTCTTCCTAAGTGGTGCTTTCTAACATTCACATTTTCATGAACGCATCAGAGGAGCAGCTTGAGGTTCTGTATCTTACTTAGACATGCAGACGGGAGCAGCCAGGTATTGAATGGCCCACCTTTCAGTTAGTAAAGGCCCTACATCCTGAGCTACAGCCACCCAAGTATGAAGTCAACCTCCAAACCTCACAATGTGACACAAATACATTTGCCAGGATCAAATACTTTACTACTCTACAGTTATAATGTTCAGCAACTGTGTAAGGATAAGTCTTTATACAGAAAGTTATACTGGTGGTATGTCTCATTAGACTGCATTGGGTTTATCAAGGTGTACTTAATAATGTGTCAGCTGAGTGTTGATACTAATAGTGATTCAGATGCTTTGCAGGTTTGTTGGAAACTAAAATTTCCTCCAAAGTTTTCTAAAACTTCTCAAGTTGTCCTGTGTGGCGAGGAGGCTGTAAGCAAATTGGATTTAGAGTGACGCGACAAATTGGAGAGACGTGCGTCAAAAAGGTCATCAGTCAGTGTGCGGTGTACACACACGTACCTCGGCTTGCTGATGAAGCAGGAGATCCCACTTCACACAATCTCAGTGTTTTGTTTACTTTGTATCTATGATCCTACCACAACTCTATTTATATAGCAGTTTGTGTGTTTGGAGAGCGCGTGGCTTCAGCACCAGCCCGCTGATAATAAGGCAATATGTTGTGGAGGATATTCTTTGAAATTTACTTTTTGACAGTTTTATTTGTATATAAATGTGTGTGTGTGTATAAATCTTATAGCATCTAAAATAAGATTGTTGTAGGACAGTTTTTTCCAGCACTTGAGCATCATATGCTCTCTGGCTCGTCAAGGAAAAGCAGCAGATCAGCAGTAGTACGAACCAAATGTGTCTGTTTTACTGAATTGTACAGAGTCCTAAAGTTAACAGGAGGCAAGCCGAGTAGTTCTCGGTAGTTTCCGACTGCAGCAAGCCAGAAAAGCCAGCTGGCATTTATAACTGGGTTTCTAGTGTATTTGTGGGCATTGCCATTTGCACTCCCACCCCCATTTTAATCGTCACATTTGCACTCCACTTTCATCTCATGATTTAGGAGGCTTTTTATTTTTGTAATTGTAACATGTACACTGATCACCACTCTGTCCACAGTGTAAATCCACCCTCCTCTCGCGCCCCTGCGTGCGTTCCCTTCATCTGTTTGGATGAGTGTCCAGAGTGAATGTTCATGTGTTCTCTGTATTTATTGATTGGCCCGGCTCTCATCTTTCTCTCGCTCTCGTTTTAAAATGAGGCCTAACCCCCCAGTGTGGCCGGATGGCTCAGGCTGCAGGCCACGGCAGTGTCTCAGCCCTGGGCTTAGATGGGAGTTGACAGACCCTTGGCTGTGGACCTTCTGATCAAATTTGCCAACTTAAGAGGGGAAAGCCCCCCACTTACCTCTCCTCCTGATTCTTGTGTGTCTTCCTTGGGTATGTCTTCTATCTTGTGTGTGTGTGTGTGCACGTGCGTGCGCGCCCGCCCGCCCGCATGTGTTACTACCCATCTGTGTGTGCGTGCACAAGTGCTACTGGCCGAACTCTGCCCTTTGTCGGGAGCATTTGTTGTGGCCCTGTTCTGTCCTGGTATGTGTGGGTATTAAAGGGGGGGATGATGGGTATTAAGAGGAAGGTGAAGGTTTAGGATTACACAGTCAAGGGTCCTCCACAGATTGATGTCCCCCTCAATCCCTCAGCGTTATTTCGGGTTCTTTTGTATGTTCGCCAGAGAGCATTTGGGTGCAGAGAAATGGTTGTATGACACAGACAGACAGCTTGCACACATGTGATTTGTTTTTTTATTTTTTGTTAATGGGTTGATAAATGCATCTGTCACACCAGAAAGATTTTTTTTTTGGCCACAGGCTGCTGGATCTCTGAATTCATCCACTAAATGAGGAGAATTTAATTTGGCGGAGGGGGGAAGGTTTCCGCAAACCTGCTTAGGGATGACGAATCAGCTGCAGGTTTAGAACAACTGGATGATTTTTTTCCGTCGTTGACCTGTTATTGTTAAAGTTTCTAGTCACTTGAAATGGCAAAGAGTCTATACTTGAATTTAATTTGTGTTTATGAAATCAGAAGCTCGCTTTTTAAAATTCTCAATTGTTTAGTTTGGCCTGCTTCTCTTGCATGATGGTGTGTTTACGTCGTCCTAATCGAGTGATGTTCACAGCGCAGGCCGAGGGAAGCTGCTTATTGTTGCGGATCGCAGATTGGTTTGACCTTTGACCCTTTTGCCTGCAAATCTGACAACCATTAGCAGGTGTGTGTCTCTCAGGATGGAGGGTGACTCCTAAAAGCCATTCTGCTGTAATTGAGTCTCTGTCCTTGTGTTTAAAAACAGCCTGACAGGAGCTCGTAGTTGACATTATTGGCTGGCATGCAGAGTGAAGATAGAAGCTGTCTTCTGTAACGGAGCTGAGGGTGCAGAGAGGTCAGAGTTTGGTTTAGGTTAAACCCTCTGCCGTACGTACGTGTGTGCAAGGGTGCATGTGCTCGTAATGAAGTCTAAGTAAATATTGTTGCCCCTGGTGTCCCTTGTTCTGCTTCTGTATCATCTCTCTTGT